ATTGCCTAGGGTGTGGAAGCAGTAGCCTAGCAATAGGCCAATTACATCATCAAGTAGTTTAGGGTCAGGTGAGGATCCTGGCCATAGGAACTTCCACTTTCCCCACACCAAGCATCTGACCAAGCTCTGTAACAAGCACCTTTAAGTGGGATAAGTTACAGGGATGCATTCCACATGCCAAAGGCTTCATGTGAATATTAGCTACTCCATAACTGTTGGCTGAATAAATAAATGACTAAACAAATCAATAAAGCTTATGTCAAAGAAGAAATCTAAAGAGTTGCAACATAGTATCTTCAGGCATGTAAACTAAGAATACAGCCTAGAATTCTATCAAGATCCTTTTAAGATGATCCTTTGCGAGCCTCATCATTGGTCCCTGCTTTGCTCCCACACACACAGCTCAATTAAAGCCAACATGCAATTAAAGCCTGAATCATTTTAGTGCCATTTATTTCTGAAATGAGTTTCCTAAAACACATACCATATATTTAATATAAAATCCATACACAATAGGTTTAATATATTTACATACATATTTATTCATACTGTGGGTGTGTGTATGTGTATATTTTTGCCTGCTCCAGTAAGTGCCATTACAAGCTCTCAGCCAATGAAAAGAAGCACACTCAGCCAACTGCAGACACAAGGCCATTACAAAACACCCTTAGCAGCCTCTATGGCACCACCCTGCATTGAGCATGCTCTACAGTATGCATTATTTACTCTACTAAAGCCTGTCTGCTACTTATTTTTTGTTCTGGTCAACAATTTTGACTTATAACAGCCAAGAGATAGTATGCAACTGGTACTGGACCTGTCACAAAATAATAAAAGTATTACTCAGGGTTATAACCATCAACTGTCAGAGTCATCCAACCAGTGCAGCTGCACCTAGAAGCACCAATGGGCAGAAATATTCTATAGAATGCCAGGAAAATTTTTAAAAATCTTTCTGCCTAGGTCACCTCTGCCTCATCCACAAGTAGAGCCCGGAGTTCTCTCCCAGTGCAGTGAGGCCAGGGTTATGCCATGAGCTTGTGAGTACCGGACTCATCATACCTGAGTTTCTCCATGTTTATTACAGGCAACCATGAGGAATAAATGATGACATTAGGAACCTTTCTCCACTGGGACTCTGCTCATCTGACCCCACAGAACTTGTTATTGTTATATGGCCAGTACTCCTGAGTTTTCTAGAATTCATGCCCAGCACTGTGTGTGTGCTGCATGTTGACAGAACAAGAGAATTCTAGACTGTTAGCATTTGGATGAAACCCAAATATGATCTCCTTTTATATAAGAAACAAACAGAGCTCAGGGAGAGTAGGCTGCTCAAGAAGTAGGTGACAAGTCAGGGCCCAGCAGGTGGTGTAGGGAGGGAGTCCCATTTCCTCATCCCTCCATCCAGAATGCCAAGAGGCTACGATGAGCTTTCACCCTAAAACCAAAGAGCTAAAAGGACAGAGATGCAGTCTCCATCCTGGCCAGCATTTAGTTTTCAAAAAGTTTGTAAGAACAATTTGAGGAGGAAAAAGGCATTATTAGAAGAAATAAATTGTTGATTGCAATAGCTCATAGAATGGGAGTAATTAAGATTAAACCACATGTATATTCAAGTTTTAAGTTGACTTATTAGCTTTGTCTTGTTTATGTGAAGTTTCTTTCTTGTAATCTACTGCATACTCTGGAAGGTACCAGGGCCCCCAAAACTAACAACTCTGTTTCATTAGAACACTGGTGACTTCTGTCGTCCAGTTTTATATTTTTGTCTGCTTACTGTAAAAAGAAAAAAACTAAGCACCTCAGTATGCAGTTCTATTTCAAAGAAAAAAAACCCCAGCAAATGTAATTAGATTTATATAAATGTTCCCAACATGATAATTTTATGAACAAACCATATTATACAGAGTACATGTTTCAATATACTGATTTGATATTAGTAAAGAACACTGCAGAAATTATATTACTGCTTTCTTTCCTTCCCCTCTTATTTAAAAATGCACAAATCTCTTTTGAAGAAAAATACTATTTCACTATTCTCCTGACCAACTATTTTTCTCCCTATCATTTTAAATTTAGTTTCCATTATATAATAAAGAGGCTACCAAAACAATGTTTTGCTAAACCTTTGCTTTTAATATTTTAAACTGAAACTCTAAGTCAGGAGTTATAAAACCAAAAGCCTGAGAGGGCCAAACAGGAAACAAATGGGTGGTATAGGGACTGCAGCAAACTGGGACTCCCGTGCCCCCACAAGAGGGGACAGTCACTGCCTCCGCACCAGCCCATGCTGTTCCATGCAAGAATATGGCCCGGCTTGCTAGATAGTCTCATTGCCAAGAGTAGTTAGAAACCAAATTAGGTGAAACTTACTGACTTTTAAAATTCTGGCTGTTTCAAAGACTTTCAAAACACTGGTGTTTTCTGGCCTAGTTTGCAACCTAACGCAAAGGACAAAATGCTATAAATAAGATTAACTCAGAGAACAAATTGAACACAAATTTTGTTTGCAAATGAAGGTTGATCTCTATATCCTTTTATTTTAAATCTATAATCCCCCATAACAACTTTTCTCTTGGCCCGGGGAGAGAGGAAGGGGGAACAAATGCCCTTAAATGAATTCAGCTGTCAGAAAGCAAAAAGGGTAAAGGTATCTCTACTACTTCCTATTTTAAAAAATTAAAATAATAATAATTCACATAACAGCATTCCCAACTTTTGAGTCCATGTTGGAACAACTCCACAAGTTAGAAACTTCACTGAAGTTAGGCTGCCATGAACATAGCTATCTTCCCTAAACTTTCTCTGTGTAATAGAAATAACATCCTAGAGTGGGTACCTGTCACTCAGAGCCATCCAGATGCAAGGCCACTTGTATAATGGTATGCTAACGGTTCGTACAACTAAGTCACAAGGCCTGATTCCTGGGTGGGGAAGTATCACCTCCTGAAATTCCAAGTGTCATATGTGCAAATTGTGCAAGAGACTGTGTGCCTTAGAGGGGTTCTTAACCCCTCCCCACAAAAAAGGCTAAGAACCAGCATCTAACTGATTAATATAGTGGAAGTTCAATTGTACAAATTCAAGCACGAATAATACAGTCTTTTTTCTTTTTCAAGCATACCTCTGCAGGAACCATTTTTTAAATTTAATCTGCCATAATCAGCAGAGCAGAGCAAATCTCTGAGTGAGGAAAACAGAGTGCGGTATCTTCAGGCTGATAAGGAGCCACACGATGAGGGCACTGCTGCGCAGGAGGCATCGGATGGTGCCTTGCCCGAATCAGTCAGCGAGCAATCAGAACGGTTTCTTCCCAAATGTTCAGGAACCATTGGAGATGATGGTGATCTCCTCGTCTGAGTGACTACACCAAGTATGATCGAATGTTTACTTCCCCAATCCAGGGGCCAAAGGAGAGACAGATGTATTTCACTTTCTATTCGTAGTTGGTAGATGGAAAAGGAGAAAATATCTTGTTTTTACGAGTGGCTGGCAAGTGTGACACAACTTCCTACTTGCTGAAAAAGTACAAAATTAAATGTGTAAATCTCAGAGAAACACCAACACCTAAAAGGTATCCCTGCTGCACAAAATGGGTACCAACACTTTGTAGGACACAATAACTTCAGGCGGAAAGTGGCCCTGAACCTCTGGTGACATAAACCAATACAGCAGCCCTGGAAGGTATTTCAGACAACAACCCCTACAGAAGTGCCCCCAAAGCACACACTCCAAATGGCAGTGTGACCAGTGGCACTGGTCCTGGCCACTGAATTCCAGCCTTCACTTTGAGAAAGGTGACAACTTATGTAAATTCCCTTTTAAGCATTTTCCCTCAGTAGCTGAGATTCCTAAGATGAGAACAAAATGAATTTGGGTTGCTTTTAAATCTGACTGACTCTGGGGTTAGAAATTACCAGGCACAATGGTTTTCAAACCCAATGTCCTGTGGCACATGCAGTAAGACTTTGCTCTAAAGGGCAGTAGAGATGGCCATAATTTGTGGCTCAACTCATGACAAGTACACTTCATTTCAAATCTATATTTGTCTAAAGCTGAATAAATATCCCTATACATGCAAATATCTGAAATACAGGTTAGAGAAGCCTAGCTACAAGCTGCTTATGAACATGAAGCCTCAGAACAAATAAAGGCAACTGACACTGAGCAGGCACATGACCTCAACCAAAACATACATCAAGCAAAAGCACTTACAAAACCAAGTAGTAAAGGAACTTAAGTTTTTCTAAATCATGTATTAAACCTAAAAGAGATCCTATTATGCTTTTTCAAACTAATAAATACCATACAAAAAAACTTCAGCTATTGTTAAAAGACAAAATTCAACTGAGTAAATTTAAGGACTTACTGGCTTTACTCAACGATTCATGAAACAGGCAGCATGCCATCTAGCAGATGAAAGGTGCTCTGAGGAGTGTGCAACACAGAAGGCTTTTACAGACAGGCGGAAGCAGGGCAAGTAAATTATTCTAGCAAAGAATGGATTCAGACAAGGTCACCTTCCACTGGGGGAAGGCAGGGGTCTATCAGGCCAGACTACCCATTAGTGCTGATCAGGTAATTCCAGATTGACTGGTTAAAGGCTCCACTCCTGGGAGAGGCTGAAATTGCTATCAGGCTAGATATTAAGTCTTGGCTTGCAGACGCAGGGTTTAAGCACCAGTGACTCCATTTTGGGCCCATTTCTTTTTTTCAAATAAATACAAAAGGGTATAGAGGGAAAAGTCTCCTTCCTACACCATACTAGCCTTCCCACAAGGCTACTCATCTCTGGCCGCGCCTCCTGAGGTGAGCACCTTCTGCTTTTTAACTCCAGGTGGAGCCCCCCCTATTTTTAACACTCAACTACCTCTGAGTTTGCAGGGGTACTGGAAGATACCATCCTTTTTCCCCCTAAAATCACTTACTAAGAAGGAAACAGAGAGAAGTCCTCCCCCATGATTCCCAGTAAACGTCACTTTTTTATCTTAATTTAGGTTCCACTCTGTGAAAAGAAAACAAATGAAACCCAGAGTAGATGTCAATCATCATGAAAGCTGTTCTGCTGAAACCCTCCTCCTACCATAAACAGTGGCTACAGATGCGGAATGTCGCACAATCGGTGCTTTTCAGAGATTAGACGCTCCAGAGGTCCCACGGAGGCTATTTTCACAGAAAAATGAAGGTCTTGAAATACATATAAAAGCAAGTCAGGGCTGCCCATAGCCCAAGGAATCTGAAGCCGCACAGTGTAGAAGGCAGTGCGATGGGCAGCACTCAATAGCTGCCCTGGCTTCCCATTCTTTGTCATTGCCACAAAAGGTTGGAAAATACCAGACCTGGGGGAAAAGGAAAAATGCTTTCAAAGAAGGAAGGGAATCTTGAGAACATTCAAAAGCCTCTGGAGAAGGCCGATTGAGAGGCTCACCAGGGAGGGCAGAGATGGGTGGGGCGTGAAGCCCTGGGCACGGTGGTGGAGGAGGCAGGTAGGCTTCGAGCTGGTTGGAGACTGTGCGAAGGGAGCAAAAAAATCAATGGCCCTGGGCTTGGAGATAAAGAGACTAAAGAGAGTCTACAGGTAACCTAAAAATGGAAAAACTAAGAAGCCCAAGAGAATATGCAGGAAGCTCAGTGGGGTGATTTTTCCTTGGGAAATGGTCAAAACCAATATGGAGCAGCTGCACTTTGTGCCAGAAGCCCATAAATAGATGAGAATGTGTATGATTCAGGACTGATTTTCTCCTATCAGTCAATGTGGTTGAGGGAGATGGCCGGTACCATACATCTCCCAAAACCATAGTGGTATACTTTTGCTTTGTATCTTAGAGTATGTATTTTTGATATTTCAGTGATGTCCTAAGTATTTCCTAGATTCTCATCATGGTGCCTGTTTGGGCTTTTCATAGAATTTTATCACATCTGGCTTACATTGCAAAATTACTGATTTTCAGGCATTATTTTTCACTTACTGAACTTCCATTTAATGAACTTTTGGATGACATGACTGAAGGATGAAAACATCTGAAATGTAGTAACAGTAAATTAAGCTTAGTCACCAAAATGGCTTGTAAAAGTTCTAGTGCATATAAAAAACAATGTAGTTTATTGGCTATTATTGGCAAAGGGTACTGGATATTTCTGTTTCCCAGCCAAAAGCACAGCCATGTGCTAACTGCATAAATGCAGTTTGTAATTCACTCAGCTGACCACAGTTAAAATAATGCAATTCTAAAACTAATTTTCTTGATTTGGGGATGGGGGTAGTAATAGTATTTCAAATATTCTACATTTATATTATCTCACTTGAATCATTTATACTGCATTATATGAAATCACCATATTCATTAGCATGTGTCTTCATTTACTTCTTAGGGATTTTATATGGAAGATCCACCACCGGCCTTTCTTCTTTTCTCTGTCCAAATGCTACCTATCCCTCCTTTCTCTCCCTAAATGATCTCATCCAATCTCACAGTTTTAAATAACATTTACATGGTGATGACTATCAAAAGTACCATTTCTGGCCCTAGCCAACTCTAAATCTCTATAAGAATATCAAATGAGCACCTCAATTTCAATAGAAGTCTCAGTGCCCCCCTTGCCCCACCCAAAATTCCCTCTTTGTTCCCCATTTCAGTAAATAGCAACATCATCCACCCAGACAAAAAAACACACTGGATTCATCCTTCACTGTCTTCTTGCGCACACCCCTCCACCCAGTCCAGTAGGCTCTACCTTCAGAACATACCCTGAGCTCGCCCACAGACACCACTCTGTAATCACCAGGCTAATCCAAGCCATGCCCTTACCTCTTGCCTGGACCACTGGAAGGGCCCCCTCCAGGTTGCACTGATTCTACTCTAGCCTCCTAGGTCTGTTCTTCTATCCTCCACTCAGGACCCAGAGTAATAACTTTGAAGCACAAAGAAGATCAATCCTCTACTCTCACTTCTCCAACGGTATACAATCATACTCAGGGTAAAATCCAAACTCGTTCTCATGGCCACAAGATGTGGCTCCCACCTACCACTGATGTCACATCATATCACAGCACTCCCCTGCCCTATAACTACCGTCCGGCTCAAGGCCAGCCAGCCTGGCTGCCGCCTGCTCTTCTCCCACCCAAGCTCAGCTTACATCAAAGGCCTTTCTTTTTGCCTCAACACTCCTCCCCAGATCCCTTCACTCCATTCAGATCTCTGCACAAAATTTCTGCCTCTTTCACACACAGCAGTCTTCTCAGAAGAGAAAAGAAGACTCTTTCAAAAACAGCTCCCCAGCCCATTTTTGTTTTTTTTCCCATCGCACTTATTACTACTTGAAATTATCTATTTATTTACTTCATTCACAAAACAACGTTTAGTGAGCACCCATCAGTCTGTGCGCAAGGTGCTCTTCTAAGAGCTGGGGATACAGTAGTGAACGAGATCAGCAAAGATCTCTGCCCTCATGGAGCGCACGCTCTTGACTGTCACCCCACGGAAGTATGGACACTGTCTTGGGACCACCGACTCCCCAGCGCCAAGATCAGCGCCTTGGTACAGAGTAGGCATTAATACACACTTGCTGAATGGGAAAAATGTCCCACTCCCCTGAGACCATCTGCCTCTTGGAGGACTCCCACCACAGAGCTCTTCTTGTTTACCAGGTGGCTATAGGACCCAGAATGCCCACTGTGTCCCCTTAGAAACAGCAATCCAGACAGTGAGCTCCCATGCCTGAGCTGGGTCTCTAACCTTGGCCTGCTTGTCCTGACTGACCTCAGTTCCCGCTCCAACCCCCAGCCCCCTGCAAGTTCCCCCGGTGGCCATGCAATTGCTCTCTCTCTCCCTGGGTCATAAAAGCACCTGGTCCACATGATGGGAGCTGGCCAGGCAGCCAGCATCGAAGCAGTCAGCTTTTCTCAACAAAGAGTAGCTGTAGTCAGAATGCATGGGTCACACTGCCTCCCTGGTCCTGCCCTTAAATAGCTCACATGAGACCTTTAATATCAGCTACCTTGCATGCCTCCAAGAATCTCACCTCAGCATTGGACACACTGTTGTTAAATACATATTTTGCCACTTTCAACTGCCATAGAAGCAAGACGTTTACCTGCTGTGATGAGTAATTAAGTTTCTTTCAAGAAAGGAAGAAGATTGTTAACTGTGAAATTATCTAATCTCAAATAAAAATGAAGGTAACTGTGAAATGCAATGAATTCATCTTTTAAGAAAACTGCAGCTGTAGTGGTAGGAAGGAAAAAAGGAAATGCTAATCTCTTATGAACTACTCTGGAAGACTCAGAAAAAAGGTATTTAAAATCCGTATTTCAAACATATGAGTTCACATTTTAATTTATTTGTTAGCTTAGAATTGCCCAGCTCTGCATCTCAAGAGCCAAATGGGATTGCTTTATATTTGCCCACCACTTTATTCCCTTGGAAGCATTCTCACTTATCTCTTTTAGTAGAGCAGGAGTCATTTCTCTGCTAGCAGCCCAGAGAGGTCAAACAATTCACCAAAGATCTGCCACAGTAACGTGGCAGAATCAAGCAGGTACCAGAAACCAGATATGACTAGGTGCAGCCCAGTGTTTTCCTTCTTTAACAGAAAGGACAATGTGGTTGTCTGGAAATCCCATTCTATAGTCTACTGAAAATATGTCCTTTCACTGCAGCAGAAGAAGCAAAACAAAACAAAGCACATATTCACCAGTGGTTTAAGGTGGTGGAAAGATGCATTGGTCCTGGAACTCCAAGCAGAGAGGGTTGCACAAAGTCTTCCAACAAATGCCAACTCCTGCAGTGACAAATGTACAAAACACAGCGTGAAACAGGCACCCTGTGACCTCTTCCCAAGAAGGCCATCCAAACACCAATTGCCAGGCAACCTGTTTAGACTCAAAGTCTCCATGTTCTTCTTCCAGCCCCACTCCCTTCCCACCCTGACTTCCCCAAGTAAAACAAGAATCTTTAGTCTACTAACTGAAATGGTCCCCATTAGAATGGATGAGTCTTGGGAAGAAAGCAGCTTTAGAGATCATCTATAACAGGGATCACAAACTGAAAGTCCAGTGGGTCACACCTACCCTACAGAGGTGGTATACCAATCTGTAAGACATGTTCAGAAAATCTGAGCCAAACCTTAAAAACCAGAGATATCACATAAAAACCCAGACTTTCTGGTTTCTCTTTAAAAAAGAAAAAAAATCAGAGGATCTGTCAACATGGCCTGTGTTCATGATTATCTGGTGCTAAGTATCAGCTACTCTTCAAAGGCAGGCTTGGCTACTCTACTATGCCACAGTCTCTACCACTCCCTACTGTCTCAACACAAAGAGCTGTGGCTATCACTGTTCTAGCCTTTTTTTTTTTTTTCGGTGGTACAGAAATAATTCCCTCATCCTCAGATTCTAACATAAGTGGGAATACAAAAGAGAATGGGGCTGAGCTCCAAGAGATAAAAAATGGTAGAGCAAATACAAGTTAAGTTAGTAACCTCACTCCTGTAGATATTTGCAACCCCTGAACAAGTACAATACTCCTACTTTATACAATTAAGTGCAAGCAGGACCCTGACATGCCCATACCCAAAGTTAGAGGCAAAACTAATTCTAGAACCTAAGTCTCTTGATTGCCAATCCATGACTCTTTCACTATGCCCCACTGCATAGTAGTTGTATATTATGAAGCAAAAAATATTATTACACACACACACATGTATGTGTGGATTTCTCAAAGCTAACACTAAATTCACAGAAATGTAGTTGAAGTATACAACCCACTCTGGGCTAAAATGCTTGCCATACCTTCATTTGTAAAAGAATATAAGAATAAGTTCTATCAGGTACCCTAACGGTTTGTTTCTAATGTGACACTTTCAGTAGTCTTGCTGTTTTAAGTACAAAAAGTTCTCACAAATACAATGCATCTACTATTTCAAAAGTGCTCAATTAATGTCCCATGCTGTCTAAAGTGGTCTTCTAAAGAACTCTTACAGGTCTTCACCTATAAGATCTTAGTAGGAGTTATTTATATCATCCCTTGAAAGAATGTATTGATTCATCCACTCAGCAGGTATTTGCTGAACCCTATTACATACCAGGCACTGCGCA